CAGGGACCTCTGTTCAGTTTTTTAGGTGCTGCTTTTGGAACCATGGCTGCTTCCCGGCAAAGCAACATCGCTTCAGGTCGCTTCACATCCACGCGCTGGGAGATCGAAAACACGGTCTCCTCTTCGTCGTCGCATCAGAAATAGAAGACGTCTGAGTCCTCTAAGGTCCTCGCATCATGATAATGATATGATGTTAATGTGTTAACGGTATAAGGTCAACACTCACATGTCCACACCCTCATATATCACATATGTGAAAAGTTATGATCATCAGACGAAGGGCGGTGTAGCTCAAATAGGCCCCACCCCCCCCTGGCTTGGCTTTGGGAAACGCTGGCGAGCACGCTGGGCTCACCAGGGTCCGGGGTGGGTGTCTCCCGGATTTACGGTGATTCATTAGCTATAATAGGAACATGAACTTACTGAACCTACCTCCTATGTAATAGGAACATGAGCTCCGAGTACCTACTGAACTGAGCAACACCCTGCGAGTTCACGCAGTGAAGACAAACATCCTCCAAGTCGCGCAGTGAAGACGGGGGCACATCCAAAACAACGCTACAAATGGCTTTGCTGAGTACCAAAGCGAATCCGTTTCAGTGGAGGAGAATCCAGACAAATCGATCGTCCACGCGAGTCCACGCGATCCAAAGCCTGCGGAGTGGAGGGCAAGATGTCACAGGCCAGGCTCCTCTGAGGGAGCAGCGAAGGAACCAAGCAGCGAAGGAAGCAGAAGTCATCTGGTTGCTGAAAAAACAGCAGATCAGGTAGACGTGATGAAGAAGTAGGGCTCGAGATGTTATGAACCTTTCTGGAGACAGTGGGGGGTGATTCATGTACCATCTATATCATATATATATATATACATTACTTCTGTTCTTGTCGTCTTTTCGAGAAGAACTGTTTCCGATCGAGTCAAAACGGAAGTCAGTCGGCGGCTGAATGATGATGCTGCTAGCATGCGTTTGGTGCCCCAAAAATAGACATTGGGGCGGAATGTGATGAACCAAGGTGTTGGCGTGGACCTGCAAAAACGCTTGCAATGTCCAGAGAGATCATGTTGGACATGAGTGGTGGGACCCACCGAATGGGCTTTGCAGCACAGGTAGCTATGGTTTCGGATTTTTTATACCCCGCTTTGTCATGGACTTCCCGTGCGAAAACGACGGCAGCATGGGAAAACCGACGGCCTCCGCCCCAGAAAGGGGTTCAATCCGAGGAGGCCCAGTAGCTCAGTAGCTCAGTGTAGTAGCTTCTTTACTCCGTTCGTTTTCGAGGCCCAAATTGTTCCTAGTTACGGCGTCCTTGTTGCGTTCGGTTTTAAGGCCAGCTTGGCACTTCACAGCGCAGTGGAAGAGATGTATATAGATGTATATAGCAGGGCCCAGGGCCCGTGAACGGTCCGTTGCTTGACGCCAGACGTGACGGGGAGAACAGTCCATCTGCGCACCACGGAAGCATTGGAACCCGATTCGGGTGGAGTCGAACATTGGAGGCCTTCAAAGGATCCCAGCTTCTCGGTACCCCAAACGCTGAAGCTGTGGACATTGGACGTCTGAGGATCTGGGGGGCTCCAAATCCTCAGTTGAGGTGGTTGAGGTGGGTGCCAGGGGGTCTAACTACCTGAGGATCTGGTTGGGGCCCTAGGGAATGTTCCTGTGGACCTTGCACAGATTCTGTGGAAGAAGGCGGCCCAGAACCTGTGCAGGATGGGACGAACACCAGCTTTTTTCTCCAGAAAGCGCACGTGCGAAATGGCTTGAAATCATAGGATCATCAAGTCCAGTGACTGGTGCGAAATGGCCAAAGGAATCCACGATCAATCATAAAGGCTTGACTCTGTCTCTTTTAAGATCTAGACACCAGAAATCACCTAACAGATGTGCTAGGATGCCACTCTAAACTTATATAAACCCTTTCGAAGCCCTTCCAAACTCCCCAAAAAACCGGCCACGCTCGCAATGACTGGCCTTGCTGGTGCCCAAGTTTGACACCCCTTCGGACACAAAAGGGGTGACGCAAGCACGCTGAGCTGATGACTCACTCGGCGGCGGGCTTCAGACTCGGGAAGCGATCGTAGATGGCCAAGCGTGTCAAGATGAAGCTGGGCTTCACCTTTGCGGCTTCGTAACACGTCGGCGCGTAAAAAGGCCTTTCGGTCTGTTCGTTTGCACGCTGCGCCAGTCGAAACCAACCGTGCTTTTCGAGAGTGCAAGAGATGGGAGACCTGCCGGGGTGATTGGGAACGAGTTTGAGCGATCTGCCAGACTGGACCAGGGAGTCCTATTGGAAGAAGTCAGCAAAAGTTGAATGATTTGCGGAGGTTGATCTCGGGGTCCACCCCCTTCGTGGTGCCGCCCAACAAAGCCCAAACGACGAGGCGGAGGGTCCACTTGGTGGCGCCAGCCAAAGTTGGGATGTGTATGCCACACTGGGGATGGGGGGATGAAGCCGAAAACAAAAGACTAAAAAACAATGAAACGGACCATCGAACTTAAAAGGGTGTGCTTTCTGTAATAGAGAGATCAATGGGAGTTGGTCTATTCCCCTTCTTGCACGGGGTCGAACTGGGAGGTCTCCCTATTTCAATACACAATACACACACAAATTGGTCCCCTGCAGGGTCACACGAAAATAGAGCTATATAGCTGTGAAGTCCCTGGAACATTCTGCGAAACTCATTCGAGCTGATGAATCTTATTTTAGGCAAGTAGCAGCAAGGACATAGACACAGTAGCCGAAGCAGTAGCCATGAATGAGATTGAGGCCGTAGCGAAGAGCAGTCCCACCAAAGCCACCTGATCCGAGCAGGAAGGTGGCGAATCTGAGACAAACATTACCGTGAGCCAAACAGGAAAGCTCAAACATACAATGGAGCTCAGCTTTGGCGTCTCCAAAAAGACAATTATTGATGAAAATGGAATCTCCAGAAAAGGGGATTCACCCATAGGTGATGAATTCTGTTTGGTAGATCTAACCAAACAGAAGAGTCTCCTCAAACACATCAAAAACAAAGGCCCAGGCTGCATCTCAGCAAAACTGCATGTTAGGGCATGCGCAGCTGCATGCGCAGCTGCATGCGCAGCTGCATGCGCAGCTAGAGCTGATTCAAAAAAAACAATCACTGGCCCAATTGACTGTGGGGAGGCACCAGAATACCGACCGCTTGACCTGCCGCGGTCCTACGCGGTCCTGCACGGCCAATGGTGGACTGGTTGGGTGAACCTCATGGGTCACGACCCGTCCCCATGTTTGGACCTAGGAACGTTCGGACGTGATGCTCGGTGGAGGCCATCGCGGTCGAACGCTTGGAGGCCAGAAGCTACGAGGAAGTAACAAGAAGCTACGAACGGAACAAAGGGCGCTATTAATTCGGTGGAGGACCGGCCTCAAACACATGTGACATGACAGGGGCGTTCGAGGGCCCGTTTCTCGATGGACCTGGTGGCATCGGACTGGGTCATTTGGTCAAAACGCAAAGCCTGTCCCACCTCCTCCGGCAAAACCGACCTTGGATGCACCGACATACATGCCCGCCTTAGATGCCAGAAGAAAACAAAAAAACAAGAGAGAAAACAACATCGTATGCCGCAATTGAAGGGGAATTATATACCCAGTCTTGTGCCTATTACCATCAGAACACCTAGTGTGACCACACTTTCTTTGGGAAACATGATTCCTCCAGAAACTGGGGAACATCAAAAAAAAAAAAAACTGCCAAACCAAGCCGCCATGTCTTCGAGCAGAGGGCAGAAGTGTGGCGCGAGTCGTCGACGAAGCTGTTCACTCCAAGGAGCGTTTGAGCCAGTCGTCTTCAGACCAACCGGTGCGTCTCGGTCCGAGAAAGAAAAAACAAACATTCCGTGTATCTCCATGGCTTCTGGCACATGATGGCACAAGTTACCCAAGGTCGCTGTTTTATATCGACCACCATACAAAAGGCCTCTTTCGGTGTCCGTCCCATCGAACCTTTGAAACCACTGTACCAGCACCACGGAATGGGCGGTTGTTGGATGGAAAATACATCGTCAGAGGTGTCAGTTAAGATATGTTAAGATCTATAAACCACCCGAGCTCCTTGGTGCTGGTATGGGATTGTTTCAGATCAGTTGGGGTATGTTCAGGGGTCAATGTATAAGCACACATTCCATACAAGATGGAGTGTCTGGGACTGGTGGCCAGATGCTAACCACCAGCACCTTCCCACAATCGGTCACCTATACCCTAGTCTCTGGATCTTTGATCCTGTTTTGACCCAAAGCCATTTCACCGAATCCACATATCCTCAAAACAGGGCCAAAGCCTGGTGGCCCTTAGCATCCGCCGTTATGGGGTTGCAGTGGTCTGATGTGTAACAGCAGGTGAAAGATTCCAACAAGGTATCTATGTTAAGCTTTCTCCGCTGGTGGCAGGCGCAGCACTCTGCGAATTAAAAAACACGGACAAAGGGTTTTGTAAGCTGCAACAAAAGTTGTAGACAGCGCAGCACTTAGTGAACTCGGCGTCCTGATCTTCGCATCCGCATTGTATATGAGAGGGCAAACAACCGGGTGGCCCTTAGCATCCACTGTCGTGGGGTTGTGCTCGTCTTGCGTCTATGCTTTCTATCACTGCAACGCGCGGTGAAATAATATAACTTAAAGAAAATGTGTTGTCTTTATTAGCAGTCTCTTTTTTTCTGCAGTTGCAATTGTGACGAGAACTGTGTCATCCGGCCACGGATGGCAATTCGGAGAAGAAAAACGAGAGGAACAATTACGCTACAGGAAGACGAGAAGAAAGGACAAAAGCCAACCAGGAGCAACAGAAGGGAAAAACCAACCAAGCAAGAAAGAAGGCACAAAAAGCATCAAAAGCAAGGAAAGAAAGAGGATTCACAAAGAAGCAATGAAAAGCAAGGAAAAGCAACGGAAGCACAGAAAAGCAGGAAAAGCAGAGAAGCTGTGAGAAGCAAGGAAAAACAAGAAAAACTTAAAAACAAAAAATAAGTTAAATACCCCTCGGCACGTACGGAGGGAGCGAACGAATGTGTGCTGAAATGATTGGATCAGGTCTCCAAGACCGGGTCTCCCCTTCATGTCCGCTCAGCGGCTTTTTTCCGCTTTCAGCACATCAGCCATGCTGCAGCTAGGTCGTCAAGACCTTGAGTTCGTATTTTTGTGCGATCTTCTTGTTCTCATAGGTGTCATCGGCGCAAGCCACGTATCCATCTGGGTAGATGTAGGCGAAATCACTGCAGCATGTCCGAGAGGAATTGAGCTCAAGTGGAAGGTGAGCATTTCCCCTGTGGAATCCCACAGGACTAAAAGAAACAGCGCTTTCGTAAAATTCCGTGCCTTTTGCCTTCCTGGGATTGGCTTCAGGGAGCATATACATATCTTTATCATTCAAGTATACTCTTTCAAAAGAATGTGTTTTGCACAAGGAGAAGCTACCAATGCAGAAAAAAATAGATAGCACATCCAGGCATCCTGTAATAGGTCCCCTTCTCCTGCAGCACCCAGCTCTTCACGCAGCAATGGGACACACCATGAGGGTCTGGATGCCCGCAGGTGATCCAGCGTCCGCGATAGTTGTCCCCGCACTTATCCGGCTTGATGTTCTTCTTGAAGAACCTCTTGATCTCCTCGCCCGTGGTCACCATCTTGTGAGTCTGCAATTTGTGCGCTTCAGAAACATAAAATCATTGCATGTTGATGCATTTTGTATGTGTGACATGTGTGATATGTGGGATGGCCTGTCCTTCCGCTGGCATGGCTCCCCAAGGGCTATCTCACACGTCCATGAATCCTTGTCACAAACCAAGCCCTCGGCACAGCAACCCTGTTGCTGCATCGAATCCTTCTTCCCACACCTGGGCAGTGGTTGAGCCACCCCTTGCAAAAGCAGCAACCACCACCACCACCACCACCAACAACAACAACAACAATGATGGCACCGGCACTTTTAAAGGTCCAGTGCAATTGTAATGTTATTTCAAACAGTCAGGAACGGGGTTCAACAGTGTGTTGGAAATAGGGCATGTTATTTCGTATCTTTTTTCACAAGGCATTGAGCATTTAAAAAACCGTGGACATACGACACGAAGGTGTGTATTTCCGCAACAGATACGTTTCGCAGAACCTTTCCCCAATAGAACTGCGACATGAGTGTGTGCGTTTGGAAATCTCGTCTCTCACAAAGTGGCACATCTTGCATTGTTGAGACTATTCGCGTGTAGGCAACAGTCTCCCAGTTAGTCCAAGACCGGTCTCCAAGGAAGCTTGGACAATGAAAAAACAAGGTCACCTGCATGGTCTCAACTCAAAGTGTCGACGTACTGATATACCAATCAAACTTAAAGAAAAACTTTACACCCCACCAGAACGGCAACTCAAGACAAGACGTTCGGAAAGGAAGGCGTTCACCAAGTGCGGAGCAAGCAGGCGGCGAGTTCAGAAGGAATGCAGGCGTACCCGACGTGGCCTCTGTACCCGACGTGGCCTCTGGACCCGACGTGGCCGCCACATGGAAGTGGACAAAACATATTCTTCCTTTCGGGGCCAGGGCGTCCACGTAACCATGATTGGTGGAGGGAGTAGGGCCAATGAGAATGAAGTCTGGCATCTGAGAGGTTTCCAAACAAAAGTCTGGAGCTTCATCGAAGGGTTTCGTCGAACACTTCTGTTCTGGTGAAAGGGCTCGTTAGAAGTTCCGGCCAAAGAGGAGTCCTAGAGGAACGGCACAAACAAATCAATACCTTTTGCTTCTCGTTACTGAGATGATTCCTTCCAAGAACTGTTCAGCTTACAAACAAATCTTCTATACTTCCCCTCCCCACCCACCCCCTCCCAGCAAGATACCATGATGAAAAAATACCCAAAATTGTAATTTTGCCAGCGCTCGCTAACAGCGCGAGTAGCAACAACAACAACCAGTTATTGGATATATCACATCTTTAACGTTGTTAAGTACTGTAGTCTGTAGTTAGATAGGTAACTACTTGCGTTTTGCAGGGATGAACATGGAAAATAATGACATTAAATATCATTAAACAACATCTCTGGAAACGCCAACCCAGACACTCTCTGGTGCATTTCTGTCCCTTTCCAGGAAGCGTCAGCTCCAGGTGCCCCATCCGGCTGCAGGTGGCTGAAGAAAGAAAAAGCACGAGGAGCAAGAGTCGCATCATGCAACTACGGGTTCTCAAGCACACGTCACTGATTAAGGCTTTCTAAGCCTGCTTGCACCGAAAGGCACGCGGGAAAATTGTCAGGTGCCTTACCTGTCACCACCTGTTGTCTCGTGGGGTGTATCTCGATCCCTTTCACTGCTCTTTTGCAGCTAATCCATGCTAATCCACGTATTTTCCTATTGGGCAGCTGATCGCATGCCGAAGCTCTTCGGCACCTCGCTTCAGAAGCTCCAGCAAGTCGCAGACCAAAAGCACCAGGAAAACTGATGCGGCCAATGCGAGTTCTCCTCGTCGTCTCATTTTCACCGAAGGGTTGCACCATCTGCGGAGAGTTCGTGGCGTGGGACGCGGCTAGGGATGCCCAAGCTATCGAAGAGGGTTTGGAGGCCCAAGGTGGTGGTGGATTGGCTCAAGAAATGACCGAATGAAGATGAATATAGATGACCTATCCACTGGGGTTGTAGGGGGAGAGAGACTCGGAGGCCTATTCTGCTATGAAGGCCGTCCGGGCCATCCGTCCCGTTCGACCGGCGTCGTTCTTGCGGGGTTTGGGGAGATCCGCCGGCGAGGTCCCTGTCGCTCACTGGACGACGAGGGTCCAGCGCCCGCAGTCGCGTGATTCCCATCAGGACAAGGTTGGCAACCGAGAATACCGTGGTTTCAGAGTACCAGCTGCTTCCAGTCCGGGTGCCCTGGCTGGACAACCGTCGGACAACCCTACACTACATAAACAGGTCTCCCTGTCCAGGACACCCCGACAGGAAGCGCTAGGTAGATGGCGCAATCCCACAATCCAAAGACCCTTCAGGATCGATTGATTTCAGGATATTGATTTCAGGCTCCCAAGACTATATGAATTACATATGATTCATCCGGATGTGGTCCCCAAATAGATAGTGGCACGGTGTCCTGTCTGCATTCTGAAGGTGGAGATTTGCTTTTCTCTCTGTTGACTTTTGCCTATCACTCAAAACCCACCCAAAAGGAGGTGTTTGACCACACAGGTCGTGGGGTCTTAATCATCAACATGACTCATGATCATTATCACCATCATGACCCAGATGTCTGGAAATGTTCACCTTCCTGGCAAGGTGACTCCTACAGCAAGAAGGCAAAGTTTTTGAGCACGGAAGCACAGCAAGTTGGGTGTTGCTGCACTTGATGTGGAACAATTCGGGCGTCGGCGTCGGACACAAACAAGGCTTAAGAAGGAGAGAGCTGAGTGGAGTTTTGAAGTTTCGAGCACTAGCCCAAGGTGGCATGTCTCAGAACGCTCAAGTGGCCCAGTTCGGTGATGCTTTGCTTAAGGCTTCGGTCAAACGTTATATCGAAATAGACCAATGCTCAGGGGCTTCCAGGGTAACAACCAAGCAATCCAAAAAACACTCAGGACGCGCCCATCACCTCGTGTGAGCCTAAGCAATCAAACCAACCACACCCGCAAAAGAGGTACAAGCACTCAATCGTGACTATGTGACTCGACACCGAGAAAATGTTCCCCTATCCAGACCCCATCTGGACCCATCCAAAACTGCATCAAGTGGATGGTTCATGCTGCACCACCATCACATGATCCACCCCCAACTAGAAAGCAAACAGCCCGGCCACGGCCCTGGGGGCCACGCATGTCATCCCCAAAAGCCAGCTGGTGTCGCCCGAAGAAATGCTTCGCCCCGACCCAACCCTGCCCAACAAGCGCTCAGGCGTCCATGCTCGCCCGGAGAAGCTGGGTTGAAGGTTGACGGATTCCCTGGAAAAATGAAGCGGAAGGAGACACCAAGGAGACCCCACGGTGTCTCAACCGCAGCGGCCAAAGGATGGAGCAAAAACTTCGGTCTGATCAGAAGATTTGGGCAACCCATGGCAACCCATAACCCATGCACTCAAAAAACGAATCGGAAGTAGAAGTGGATAGACAACCTGGCAGACTCTCAAGCAATTTGTCTACCAGGATCAGCATCAGCAAAAAGGGTGACTTCCGTAGTGGAGGATGGATTCAACATCAACAATTGTCAACACCCGACGGCCCAGTGAAGCCTCTGACCACTAGTTTGTAGATGGCCAACGAATGAGTCAGTAGTTCACCAGACAGAAATCGGTGTTTTCAGAAAGGCAAACAGTCCCAGACGGGCTCCAGTCGTACCTCAGGTCTGACTGGACCCTCCTTCCTTCCGTCGCCAGTCCCACAGAAGGTGCGACAGGAGCCGCAGGTCTGGCCAGTGGGCCACCGGGGCCCTGTTTGGTACGAAACAGGGCTCGGATCGCGGACCCTCCAGAGATGGAAAGGTCATTGACCGGAATAGATGTTACAATGCATTAAACCTTAAAAATCAAAACATCTTCCAATCACCCCAATATAGGCCAATATCCCACAGTTGGATTGTTAGGGATTGGTCCTACACGTTGCTTTTTCCCCCTTCATCCACCCACCCACCGCACCGCACTTCCGCCGCCCCCATCCGCCCCCGCACCGGTCCAACGGCGCTTTCACGGAGAGCTTCGGCTGGCCGAAGCTCGGGAGGTAGGCATTCCACACCGCCGGGATCCTGGACGGAACACAGCGGCCGGGCGAGTAGGGCGAGTAGGGCGAGTAGCGACGCGATGGTGGGTGCAAGCTGACAAACAGAGACCTTATAGTTGAGACTTGCAAGCCATGAAGCGGCTGGTTTGGGGGGGAAGGGTGGTTTCTTGATCACTGTGAGGTGAGATCGTTTCGGCCGATGGTAACACACACCTGTGACTTTGGGGCTTGAAGAACGTTGAAGCACCTCGTCCAAAGTGTTTGGGCAATTGTTGCCCTACCATACCCGGTTTCCTACATCCTGAGTACAAACTGCACAAGCGGCTGGCACCAGCCATGCACACCACGCCCAATTTGAGCTCGCGGCGCCACGAAGGATTGTGTTGCGGTCTCACCATGGACCTGTGCCCAGGCGGGACGTTGTGTGCTTGTCAGACGCGCAGTTCTTGACATTGAAAGATTTGAAAGAAAGTACTTGAGTTCTATCCCTCAACTCCTACCAGGACCATCCTGTCTAGGTCCTGACTGGACCATCCTGTCTGGGTGTCCTGGCTGCACTACCCAGCCTACTGCTCTCCAAGAACAGACACCCTGACAGGATGGTCCAGGTACCCGCTTACATGGGCGGAGTGGTTTCACTGGTCAATGTAGGCATACATTCCATACATGGAGTGTTTGGGTATGAACGCCCACCAAGTCAGCCGAGTGAAGATGGTGAGGGGCTTCCGAAACCATGCAACAAATCTGGAAGTCACACATGTTCGGGCAGAAAAGAATCACAGTTCTTGATGTTCTTGGTGTTCATCTCCACTTTCCTAGAACCTCAGCGACCTCTATCTTGAATCACCAACCACCCACAGTGCTCTTTCTATCTCTTTCTCTCTCAAAACAGGGGTCATGTCTGGGTTCTAGCCTAAGAGTCTATATCATCCATACCAGGACCCCCAATTCTTGTGGTTTATGGACACCCCGAAAAACCTCCAAGGGCCTATCGGCCTAGACACCCATGAAGGCTCCTGGTGCCGGCCCCGCACCATCTGCACCCGCTTCACCTTCCGCCAAGACGCCCACAGGGTCGAGTGTCCCTCCACCGACGTGAAGGAGACCAGCAGGGCCTGGGAACCCAGACAACACACCCGCGGCCCGCGGGTTTCGGTATGGGAGGACTCCTAGAATTTCATGGACTCCAAATGGTTGAAACCGACTTTCTCTGCTACGAACGGTCCACATGGAACCCCAAAACCACATGGTCTTCCACCACCGGTCGATTCTCGGGTTCCATGTGGTCGGTTGCGGGAGTGTAATTCATGGTACCTGGATCATCCTGTCTGGGTGTACAGTCTAGAGATCCCAAAGTGGTGTAGTGTAGGGTAGTCCATTGGAGACCCATTGGATGGCATACCGTTGGATGAAACAAATTCTTCTTGAAGATTTCTTGTGCTCTTGATATGAATCAGTTTGCTTCATCGATACATACTACCGTGTACATATGGGACTCAATTCACCGATCCCTTGTTGATGCCTGGAATCGACCGGTGCAGGGACTCACTGGGCCAGGTGGCGCACTGGTCCGAAGTGGATACACTCACACGAAGTGCATCGCATGGAAGGGGAACATGGACAACACGGAAGAGATGCACTCCATGTTCCACTTCCATGTGATGCCTCCTGGAAGTGGAACATTCTCATGTCTTCTCTCTCTTTTCGAACATGTGCACTTCGACTTCCCCGTGATGCCGGAACGGATGTCCGACGGCAAGTCATCATCCCGATGGCACGACCATCAACTCGGCGTGACCAGGCTGGGCTGGGAGGAGAAGGTGGGGAGGAAAAGGGAGGGCGAGTGACGTCCTTCCGGTTCGCTCTGAAACAGACTCTGAGCACCCGGCCACAGCAGCTGTGGCCATGGCACCCATGGCACAAGGACGGAAGAGATTCGATCAAGGAATATTTGCCTGGCCTAACCTGGCGGGCGACACCTGGGACAGACCGACTTTCCAAATTTTGTTTTGAGGGGATGTGGCTAGAATTCACATTTACAAACATCTTTTGATGTGCTTACCAATGAGCCACTGTCTCTTTTGAAGCGAAGATGGGGACAAGGATTTTGGG